ATTTTATTTTGAAACAGTTAAAAAAATATTAAATAAATAATGATTAGTTTGTTCGTCAATGTCATCATTAATGCATAATTTTCTTCAAGACATGGTTTGTTAAATTTTTCATTAAAAAAATTACATTTTCATTAAACTTGACTTTTGTCAATGCAAAATAAATGGCGAATTATTAATTCGAATTAGTTTAATAATTGTGAACTAAATTTTCATTTGGCTTTCTGTCAACCGGCTCCTAAAGGAATTTATCTTGAAACTACGTCAAGTTTGCAATCCGTTAATTTAGGATCCTGTCTGCTTGTAGTTAGAAGGGTCGGCATCCACAGCAGGGGCTGGTTTATTGAAGCGTCATTTTCACTTTGTTTGACTGTACATTGCTATGGATTGCAAAACTGTCAGTGTTAGATATCAATGTCAAATAACTTGTTTTGTTTAGATTTAATTGTTTTTGATTCATACTTTCTAGTCGTAGAGAAAACACAGTCTCTTACTCGGTTAAAATGAAAATTCGATCTGCTCGCGTTCGGAGACTTCCCCTCGTATCGAACTTTTATTCTCACCTTGTTACAGAATCTACTATTCTACGATTAATATAAAATAACAATTTTCTTGATTGATTTTTAATTACAGAATACTCATATTCTGTAACACTGCTAGAATATTCTCACACTAGTGTTAGAATGGACACAGGTGCCGCCATCTTGACAGTCATAAATCTTTAGATAAATTATTATTATTATTATTATTATTATGGCACTGGGACCGGGCAGAGGTCGAAACTTGTGGTTCCGATAATGACATGAAGACCATGGAATCCTGTTGCTATAAAGAATGATGAGCCATAGGCTGCAACAGAAATTGAATTGGGTGGTTGCAAGCAAAAAAAATCCTAATTTCCCTTAACGAGCACTTTAGCGGACGAAAATACTGACATTTTGAGGCAAAGTAAGAAGAAGGGAGGGCGTTCCAAGAATTAAAAACTCTATTAGTGATAAAAACCTGTCTGACAGTAGTACTAAATACTAAATAAATATAGTCATGTAATTAAAATACATTATCCTACTTATTTTTTGGACATCATATCAAGAAGTGCCTGAAGTGTTGAATTCAATTCTTCGGGGTGCTTTCTCGCTTTCCAGAGCCTTCTCTATTTCTCTAGCCTTTCCGCCGATCGCCTGTATTTGGCTCTTTTGGACTTCCTTTAAGGTTGTGATGGATTGGGAGATTTTGAGTTCAGATTTTAATGATGCTTTTATGTGCTCTTTTGATGCAATAGTATTGAGTAATTTTGTTCTAAATAATTTCCAAGTTTCGCTTTCCACCCCTCAGGATAAGCATTCATATCAATACCTGCGGGGCGTTCTTCTAATAGCATTAGGGGAGACTGGGGAGGGTTGATTCTTTTTTCACAAAAATATTAATATAAAATTTAGGAAAAGCATTTACCGATCCATTTATGTAAGAGTGCAATTCAAGGAGTTTGCTTAGGAGTTAGGCAATATTAAAATTTTAAACATTGAAAGTTTGAGCTTGTTACAAATTGCTGAAATTGTCAACATGGGAGGTTTGATACACTTACAGGGAGGTTTGATACAATAAGAAATTATAAGGAATAGAAACACAATATTTTATTATAAGCCACTAATTGATACATAATTCGCAAGTAAACATTTTTATGCTATCTTTGACACATGCACACGCGGAATGGCACCATTTTAGGCATTTCTGACAACGAATCCAGTTTTCTCCAGAACGAGACATTGAAAATAACGAATTGCAGTAGATGCAAGCGGCATCGTCATCGTTATTTACCTCATAAGGTTCTTTGTCATTTTCGTCCTCAGAATCATCAAACACACTAATTATTTTCTTTTTTACATTTCTATCTAACACTCTTCTTTTGTGGTAGGATTTACTACACTCTGCGCTATGTTGTTCTAAATAATCACTGCTTTTAATTTCCTTAGATAAGTTTCGTTTAACTTGTTGAATTTTCGCTTTCATCTGTTTTTTTTTTCTCTTATATTAAGTTCGGCCTCAATTGCTTTTTTTTCCGAGGTGTCGATCAAGATTCTGATCCGACCAGGCTTTCTATCTCCTTTTTTTTCCTTGGCAGTGCCTTGGGATAAGGACGAACTTCTTCAGGACTTTTAAGTATAGCAGATGTTGGGATTGGGATAGGGCGGGAATTTTTTGAAGAAGTTTCCATTGCATTTGAAGATGACTTCCGATGAGATGAGGATGTGCTAGGTTGAGCTGTTATATTATCTATGTCCGGTACTTTTTCAGGGTTTTGCCCTA